AATGAAATGAAATCATCAAATAGTCAAAAAAAATTGGCTAAATTTTTTTATTTTGTATTTTATATACATGAAAAAAAAGTACTTAAATAATAAATAACAAGAATAAAAAAACAGTACTAATGAGACTAGACTAAAATAAATAACAAATAAAACAAACAGATAATGTGCTATGTATGTACAAATGAGATAAGATCCTGAAATAAACAGAAATTTAAACTAATAGTTTTTTTATGATCTAAAACTATCATATTTTTTCAAACTAAAAATACCTTTTCAAACTAAAAAGTATTCTCTTAGTTATTTATAAGCTATAAAAAAGAACAGGATAAAAAGAAAAAACGCAATAAAAAAAATGACATCTATATTTGCCGCTGTTTTTCTTATTGAAAAGCTTTTGGCAATGTAACACTAACAGAAATTGCTATATATAGAACTATAAATATAAATTCGTAAGCTACAAAATTATACTAATTATTGGTAAATTCGTCCTAGGAAATTCTGAAAAAAAATTCTTTTTCTAACTTTTATTTTTGTTTAATTCAAAAAAAAATTAAATATAATATTATTATCCTCAACTGAAATATCCGCCCAAAACATAGGTAGAAAAACCATCCACTCTGTCTTCAAAACTAGACAATATGGGTTGATTGCTAGAAAAATCAAGTTCTGAGAATTTTTTAACAAAATTGAGATTTTTATTGCATTTTAGTTTTTGATGTTATTAGATTAAAATGTATTAAGCTCTTAAAATTTCTCAGAACCTGATTTTTCTAGAAACCCTCCCATATAATATCATTATTAAACACTAATATTAGACGATAAAATCTAAAATAGAGCTGCTAAAAATAAAAGCAATCAATAATTGAACCTCTATGGTGGTATCTGGTAAACCGTTGACTTTTATAAGCAATATTTTCAGTTTACTGCACAAAATCATAAATCATTTGGAGGAATTCTAATTTTTACTATAAATGAGTTCACCCAACTATCCCTTGTCAACGGACAACAAATAATTTACTTACCAATCTATAAACTATTTTTTCCTCTCTACTTTATCACAATAAAAATGACAAAAAAATGATTTAGACTTCTACAATATTCCAAGAAATGAGATTTAGATAACTCTCCAAAAAATCAAATTAATGATAAACCAAAAATCTCTGAATCAACCAACCTAAATGCAATAATGAACTCACCACATATCATTAGCCTTCGTGAAACTGCATAAGAAATAAACTCCTTCATCTGCAAAACCTACTATTAAGTAATAAAATCCAGAAATCATTATATCAAAACCTATAGATATTCTCAACAACCAGATAATCGACAATGAAAATGATTAACATTATTTCAAAATCATACTAAGCTACCAAACTCTATAACAATACAAGAAGGTACGCGAATGATGTACTTAAGAATATGTGGAGTAGTAACAAAATTCACAGACAAAAATATAGAGATAACCTTTCAGATAATACAGTTCTGAACATAAGTAACCCACCTGTCATTTTTTTTTGAAATCACTTGATAACACCCAATAAAATTTTTTTAATTTTCAATAGTAATGCTAATCGTGATTATCTATAAAATTTGAAGTTCGTATAACATATAAATATAGAGTTAGATGATCGACAAACTTTACACCTCAAAAATGGTACTTTCTCTTCATCAACGTTATGAATGTGTTTTTTTACATAAACACCCAGCAGGTCTGAAGTGGGGATATCAAAAGATAGCTTCTCATATACGTTGTGATAAAAAAACTATAATTTATTGGGTTAAAAAATTCAAAGAAAACAGAGATTTAACAGATGAAAAAAGGCTGGTCATCCACGAAGCATGAATACTGTACAAGACAAACGGATTATGCGAATGGCAATGAATAAACATGATATAACTAGCCAGAAAATTCAGCATAAACTTGAAAAAAAGGCATTAAGGTTAGTTTAAGGACAATTAGGCGGCGTCTTAATGAATCTGGTGGAAAATTTTTGAAGGAGATTCACAAGCCATTGCTTTCAGCAAAGCATCAGGCTAAACATTTAGAATGGGAAAAAATTCATAAAAATTTTGATTGGAATCGTGTTATTTTTACAGATGAAAGTACTTTCCAACTATTCGAATCAAACGAAAAGGTCTGGCATTTTGTTAAAAGGCGAAAAGTGTTCCGTACATTAAGCATTCTCAGAAGGTTCATGTCTGGGGCTGTTTTTCTTCTCAGGAGTTTGGTAAACTAATTTGTTTTACTCAGAACCTTGATGCTCAATTTATGTGTAAAATCTATAAAAAGGGTCTCTTGGGCTCGGGTTATGAGGTTTTTGGTAAAGAAAACTTAGGGTGGTTTTTGCAGGAGGACAATGATCCTAAACATCATTCAAAATTTGCAAGGAATGGAAAGAAAAACATGGTATAGTTGAACTTCTCTAGCCATCCATGTCACCTGATCAAAACCCCATAGAAAATGTGTGGCAACTTATGAAATGCAAAGTTTCAAAAAAAAAATTCATACAACTAGAGGATTAAAGCAGAAAATAACAAAAATATGGAATAGTCTCTCAGATCAATTAGCTATAAATCTCGTTGATAGCATGAAAAGGAGGGTTTGTGGCATTATTAGAAGCTAAGGGAGATTATACCATATATTAATCATTAGGGGTCGCCCCCTACTTTATAATAATAAAAAAATTTTTTTTTTCATCACATATATTTTTTTACAATGACGGGGGTTGGTTACTTATGTCCAGGACTGTAACCAAAATCAACGTACAAAAAATGACATCATACTTCAACATCAATGATCGCGACGCCAATTCCCAATAACTGTACACAAAACACACGGTTAACACTGCACACCACCTAACAATCGATGAAACATGTTCTCAACCGGTCAAGTATACATCTCGTGGAACTCAATAAGAATACTCTCCTTTGATTTTGAAGTCCTTAAAACCGACGAAGTTCTCACAGAATACAGAAGGTTAAGGCACATAAACCAAAAGGTCTAATGAAATTCTGGACCAACCACTAAGTAAAAGACCCGATAAAATACATCCGAACATACGATATATCAGAACTTCCGATCAGGGCTCCCCCGCGCGTATTCGATGCGAAAAAGGCTTGTTACTTTATTATTTGGTAACTTTTCCTATTATAAAAAACAACAATCATATCGAGTGTATTGCTTTGCATAATTAAAAACCATTTTTATTTATTTTTTAAAACCTATGATTTCATTAATATTTACTAATTATCTTGAAGAAAATTTCTTCGATTATTATAAGCAAAAGGAACTCTGACCAGATATCACAAGCAATCTCCATGAATAAAAAATTTGCTTTGGTATTCATTTTATTTGATACACTTTCCATTGTCAAAGCTATTCTACATCAATCAATAAAAGATATTGGTTTGCTGCAACTTGTCCTTGATTTATCTAATGTACTAGATAGGTTATCAATACCGGAGATTCAAATTTCTTTCTGATGGTTCGATTGTGATTATTTCAAAGTACAATGTATCTGTGTTGTGTCGTAAGTAAGCGGAGTGCCTGCTAACTTCGATATTATATGATTGGTGATAATAAAGGCCGCGGTTCCTGATAAGGCCAATGCAACTTCGATTTTTTGGTTCACGTCACCCGGCCGGGTCACTTTTTCTAATTTTAACAAAAAAAAGTTTATATATAAAAAGTTTATCATATGACTATAAAGTGTAATTTTATTGGTAGATTAAAGGTTTATTGTATTATCGTTATTTTCATGCAGCTTCCCAAGCGGAAATTTTTTCTCCAACTAACGTTTTTGATGGCTAAACTTCACTTCAAAATCTGCTTCCCACCAGTCAGGTGATAAATATAGAATCAATATATTTCCAAAAAAATCTTTTATTTTTGTTTTTTATCTCAACACGTAAATTCCCAATCCTTCAAAACTTTAGAATTATAACTTATTTTTATATGTATAATAGGCATTTTTGACGGAGTTAAGATGATTTGAAATGAAATGTGATTGTCGTATGATTAGGCGGGCAAAGAGAAATTTTATAATTTTTAGATAAAATTTTAAAATTGAACACGGTCACCCGGTATTTTTTTCTCTTTTTCATATGTAAGTTTTTTTATATGTATTATTATATTCTACATCAATCTTATATTAAATCTTTCTTTCTTTTAAACAAAATCACATAATCTGATATGCCGATTTTATTATGTATGGTAATAAAAATCCTGAATTTTCGTTAACTGACACGGCCGGGTCACAAAAATCTGAAAATTTACTTTGCACGGCCTTGGCCCTTAAATATTGACCAATCAGATGTCATAATATTTATATAAACTTTTTTTATTAATAAAAAATAACCATTAATAAACTCCGGGTCTTCAACAACCAAATTATAATTTCTTTTTTCCCTCTTTTTTTTTTTAAAAAAAAAAAAAATTAATTTGTTATTTTTAATATAAATTTATTCACTTGAGCACATATAAATAAATAATATATTACAATTATTTGCAATTAATAATTAATTTTCCGCAGTTTGAAGGCTTATAGTTAAATGTATAATAATTCAAAGAAAAATTATAAGAGCATATAAGAAGTGTATCCCTTCTAAAAAAGGTTCCTTTCAAAATATAATTTCTAAATATACTACAACTGCATTTGAAGGATGTATTCGTATTTAAAATTCTCTCGATTTAAGAATTTTTAAATCTTTATAAAGTTTTTACGTTTAAATGTTTTTGATTCTCCGTCGAAATTTATAATAATTAAATAAAAACGTCGTTGAAAATTGAAATATTTATTAAAAATCCTGTCGAAAGTCAAATCGTAAAGTAATGGTTCGAACTTTTTTTAATTTTTATTTTAAATTTATTTTTTTTTTTATCTAAATTTCCGATGTCTCAAATTTTACTATTGTAAAATAAGTTTTCTTATTTATAAAAAAATTAAAGTCCAAAATAACACATATACCAATATTCGTAATGGCGCGGCGAAATTTATCCCTCATTCGAATTTCCAAATTGAATCTTGATCGTAATCTAGATCTTTAGCAAACTCTGATATATATTTATCTTGATGAATGGCATTTTTAAAATTTCTAGCATGTTCTTTAGAAGGAACAAAGTCTGGATCTTGATACCAAAAATCAAAGCGATGTTGCAAATCTTCATAATCTGATATTTGTATTGCTTTGTATTTTAATACGGCTTGCTTACTTTTAGCCGCCGCACTTTCATAAACATTACTAAAATAAACCAAAAAAAAAAAAAGATTAAAAGAGAAACCTAAATAGAATTACAGTTAGGAATGCACGAAAGATAATTAATTAATTCAGCCTACCCCATGATAGCAATCAGCATATTCTGCAAGATTATTACAATCAAAATGCTAGCAATTATAGTAAATATTTCAACAGACCAAGAAGTATACAGATCCCTTTGAATCCAATTACTATTAGTCCAAAAGTATGCAGCGACTAATGTATTTGAAAATGAAGAAAATTCATTATTTTGATTCAAATTGGATGAATTTGTAGCATTTCCACATGTTGTAGAATTTTTTATTTGACCAGCATTCAAACTTTTTGTTAAAATAAAGCTACAAGTAAACACAATTTGTATAGTAAGTGTTTATTTTAAAAAATATAAGTTATAAAAAACATTGACTTAAAAAACTTGCTTACAACGTGTGCGCGAATCCAAAAATTATAATGAATATACATATGAGAAAAGGATATATTTTTTTGCAAATGTTTAAAACACAATAGATGTAAAACGAGATTCCTATTTAGATTTTTTTTTTAAAAAAAAAAAAAATTAATGGTTTTTACTCATTTCATAAGATTTTATATTAATTTTAATATTTTGTATTACTTGGTATCAATCGGAAATATAAAATCTAAAATTTTTTAAAAAAGTGTTAATACATCTTAATTGAACAAAAATATACAGTCAATTGAAAACTTACTAATTGTATCCAAATGATTAAAATTGAATAAGATATTCCCACAATTAAATTCAAGTCTTTTGCTTCAGGACTTCCAAAGCCTTTAGAAGATTTAATAAGTATTGCTGTCATTACAGCCACAGGAATTACAATTGAAAGTAGATCAAACCAATTAAATACTATGCTCAAATATTTTATAAATCCATGATGAGTTAATTGCATTAATTCAGTAATTAATAGATAAATTGCCAAATAATAGAATATACCAATTAATAAATATATAAAATATTCAAGTCCCTTGGCAGAAATTTCACCGAGTTCACCAATATATACAAAACTAATAAACATAAAACAAAGTCCGAACGTAAAAAATCGAAGAAAAAGAAAGAAAACGTAACTATTTGCACTTGGCCAACGATGTTGAATAGTTTTTTCGATAACTGGGAGATCAAACATGTCATCAATATCTTCATATGGAATTAAATTTGATTCATCTTGATTTGTTTTATACCATCGTGGTATAAATAAAAACAAGAGAATATGTTTAAGTATTAATGTATAATCAGAATTTCGTTGAACCTTGTTGAGCCTGGAACTCTTTATGTCATAATCGGGTGATTTTAATTTGGATATTAAAAGTTGAAATTGTTCGAATAGAGTTTTGCTATCCTTCGAGGAATCTTTCTCAAATGTGTGCCACTCATTTTTTAACATTCTGGTACACTCTTCTATATTATGGAAAAACGTTATCAGTGCAATGCTACAATGAACCTATTCAAATAAAGTTATAAAATGATAACATACCATATTTTAATATATTCAATAAAAAATATGCATCAGAAACCGTTTTTAGCAAACTAACAAAATCATCAGCATACAGTACATAATATTCTAAAATATATGTAACAATCATTGCATCATTTGGTTTATAATCTACGAGGAAATAAAATATTGTTTTAATCTATCGGTAATAATTCGTGTATTGTGTGTAATACTAATAAATTGGCTTGCCTCTGCAATAATAAATTGCTAAATTCACATCTGTCGTTGAATATTTAAGTTCTTTCCCTACAAATAAATAAAATATTTATTATTCTATCATGTAATGGTGATATTATATTATATTAAGGTTTATATGCCGAAATTTTGGATTTACCTCTGCAATTATAAAAGGAGAAATTCATACACGTCTTTGAATTATTTTGTTCTTAAATAAATAAATAATATTTAATATATCAACAAAAAATGTGTAATGCTAAAGATGATAAGGCTTGGGTATACCTTTGTCATTATGGTTATCAATTGTTAAATTCACATGATTTTTTTCATTCACTTTTATTATATATTCACGTTCATCTTTCCAAAACTTACGTTTTGGTATATAGAGGTCCATGCTGAATCCAAATAAGAGATAATGAATTAAATGATTACAATTACCAAGAATTAAGTTCTTCATAATACGATAACGAACATCTAGTAATCTATAACGTTGTGGTCGTTTTGCAGTATATCTCCAGACTATATGATTAATATACTTGACCATCTCATTATACTTTTTATTGAAAAAGAAGATCTGTTAATTAATTTCAATTAAAAAATTTTAAATACTTTAAATCAACTTACTTTATGTGTTTTATCATAACTTGTAAGAGATTTGGCATGCATATTAAGGGATTCTAATGCTTCACACGCATATCTTATTCCTTTTGCGTTTTCATTGATATCATTCCATTCAATTATTTTTTTCTTGATCTTCATTCCTTTTATATCTTCCATATTTTTCATTTTCTCGGTAATTATTTCTTTCGAAAGTCTATACTCTTCATTCAACTGATTATTCATCTCTTTCTCGTACCAATAAACCTCCAAACGAAAAAATTTCGAACCAAATCGAACATTTGAAATATGTAATTTGTGGTATTCATTTTCTTGATTTTCTGGAATTCCATTCGTCCAAATAAATTCAAGAAACGGTTTTCCTTCATTGGGAAGATTTTTTTTCTCGTTATTTTTATCATGGAATTGATGCCATATTTGAATGGTAGACATGCCAACTATAAGTTGTAAGACTTCTAAATGATTATTATAAAGATAAAAAGAAATTTTTTCATATTGTTTTGTTACCCATGGCTCAGGTTCTTTAACTGCTGGCTCGAAATTATTATCATTTACATAATTTTCATAAAAGTATATAGTGTGATTTCCTAATTTTTTAGATGGTGATGGCTCTTTATTGTTGAGAATATATTCTTTAAAATCTGAATTTTCTGAATTATTATTCTTTAATTTGTTCGTTATGGTCTCAATCATCTTGAGAATTGATGTAACTTTCCCTTCATCATTAACTTGCAAAAGATTTCCAGAAGTACTAGCTAAGCAAGTACTAAGATGTTCCGTTGTAAGTTTTTTTAATGCTATTGTTTCAACATTGTCCGTATCATATATATCCCAGATAATAATCTTTAGATCATTATTATTTTTTGTATCACTGCCAATCAAAAGTAATTTCTCATCACTGTTGATGAATTCAATTAAAAGGATATTAATTTTTTCAAATGTTTTAATTGCGATTTCCGATCCATGCTCCATAAGGAATATCCTATTAAAGTTATGTTTAATAATTTATACTTTTTCAGAATGAAACCGCACGTTACAAATCACATGATTACTTACCCAATAGTTTGAGGTCCTAGAGAAATACAAATTTGTAATTTTTGTTTATCAATCGAGTAAACTTTTTTGTACTTGTAATTATTGTACTTATTGTTATAAATGGATTTAACACTGGTTTTCAATCTCATTTCTGTCAGATCATGAACTGTAATATAAATTTGTTAATACAATCAATTCATAAAAAAAAAAATATGTAAAAAGTTATTGGTGATTTACCTTCAAGAACTTTATTGACTTCAACTAAAAAATATTTTTTATTAATGTGTGAAAGGATTAGATTCATGTAATCCTGTATACTTTCTTGCGTAACTTTAATTTCATTCATGTCCGGTGAATCATGTAAAGCGTTAAATTCTTTCGTAACGATATCAGGATAATTAAATTTCTCTACATCATTAAAAGATTTGTTCTTTTTATTATATTTAAAGCTATATATACCATTATGGTTCAATAATAAAAATTTTTTTAAAATATAATCTGATTCAACATCATTTTCAAACTCTTCTGGATTCATAGCTTCCACAAATTTACAAATTCCTGATAATCTATTAAAATTAGATTTAATAATATCAGCTTGATCGTCATTTTTTAATTCAAGACAATAAATAGCGGTTCCAAAATCTGTTGAATCTTTCGGGATACAATTTATACAATTTATACGAGCATCTCCATTATTTCCATTATAGTACTTTTTTACAACCATTTTAGCTTTTTCATCTCGTGTATTATTCTCTCCCGTTTTTTCCATAAATTTGTCTAATCGAGATACTGCTATAAAAATAAAATTTTCCTCGTCTATATTGGATATATCGATCGACCATTGGACATCATTCGAAGTTCTGGGCGTAAGACGTTCGTTCTTATCAGCGATAAATAAATCCTCTTTTAATTGTAAACTAGCAACTGTTTTATCAATTTCATCGATTCCATTGGAAACATTCTGTTCAGAACTTTCGACGTTCTTTTTTACTTTGGAGGTAAAAAATTTGCGATGATCGGTATTTTTTAAAATTTTAACCTGAAGGGTTTCTAAATTACGATAAATAAGTATTTAAGAAAAAATATTTTTAAAAAAAATGCAGGACGTCCGTCATTACTCCAAATTACACTTACCTGTATCAAATGTGACAGCATAATTTCCATCTCGACTGATGGCAATTTGATATCTTTTTTGTCCATGATCTTTGGTAGAACTTTCAAAAGACATTTTATTCAAATATTATTTTTTTTTTTTTATATCAAGAAATTCAAGGGATAAACGTTGTTGAAGAAATGAAGAATTTGCGGAAGGTATGGCGACTTTTTATTTCTTTCGAAATGCTTGCAAAAATCTTTGTGTCACGTCACGTTATGAAGATTGTTTTGGGAACACAATAATAAAATTGAATTTCACTTAATTTCTTATTCGGTCAATGAAAACTTTTAAATAATTCATAACGAAGAAAACGAAAAATTTGATGCACAATGCAGCAGATCTTCAACGCCACATGGATCAGAATTGGGAAATGCATTAATAAAAAATTTAAAAAGTGTTTATTAATCTAAAAATAAGTAAACTGTTTTGGAAACTCCAATACAGTATATGGATGCATTAATTTTAAATTCATTCTAACTATCAAAAGTCGCTTTCATGCAATGCAAATATAAAAATTATAATAATGGGTAAAGGATGAATGAAAAACCAAGCTATTGATCAATTATGTGAAACGTGTGTGAAAGAGTCACGACCAGGGTACTGGGCGTAAATACGGGACCTTTGCAATGGTGGAAACTGCCGTAAAAAAAATCAATTTTACTTTTTATATGACTCAATTTTATTTTTTATTTGCATAATTTGAAATGACCAATCAAAACGAAGAAACACGTTCAATTTTTTTTTTTTTTTAAAATAAAAAATTTTACGTAGATTTGAATTAATGAATATAACTACTTGTAATAATATTTATATAGTAAATAAAAGTTCCTTTAACGTTAATATGTAATTTTTTGAATCGAATTTATATTAAATATCCTAAAAATGATGTAAGTATGCATATATTTTCTCATTCTGCATGTTGAAAGCAAAGTTTGAAAACATCAATTACACTATTTGTAGATTATTACTATAAAAAAAGAAAATTCTTAAAAAAAGATTATAATAAACATTTCCAAATTATAATGCAAAAAAAAAGCTTACATTAAGAATAAGATTTCCTAACAATATAAAAAAGTGAATGACGCAATAAGAATATAGTTCTCAGCAACAATTATAATAAAAATGAGACAAATTCCATATTCTATTGTATACTTAACCCTCATTGTCAAAAAAAATAACAAATGTGGTAAAGGAAACTAGAGCTGCGACCCGTTACCCATTTACTCAGATACAACCCGAGTCTACCCGGATAATTATAGGTATCCGGGTCATAAAAAAATAAATGGATAAAAACGGGTAATATCCGGTTTGTATCCGTTTTATATTTATAAGGGTTGACCCGAATACGAATTATACGAATAATATAAATTCTTTTTAATTTACAGTAATTAGAAATCGTTATATTATTATTAAAATTGTTTGTTCCCATTTTTGGAAAGGGACTTGTTTTTATTGTTATAAAATATACTGCTACGCATTTTGCGTTTCGCTTGTTCGTTGTAACTGTAATCTAACGTTGCGATATATTTTCCTTTTATGGCAACGATATTTGGAGAATTTTATATGAAAGTTTCTAAAAAAAGTTAGTTTAATAATTAGTTTTAATATAACACCCTAGTACAATTAAAACTTTAGTGTTTATTTGTCAAAATTTACAATAAGCTAACCAAATTAAACCAAATGGTTATGCATAGTGAAACGAACTACTTTTTATAAATAATTTGACGAAAGTTTATAATTTTATATTTTCTCCTTTTTTACTTCTTTGGCTTTCATATATATATTTTTTTTAATGGAAAAAATACTTAAAAGGGCTTTGATTTCTTAATTATAAAAAAAAATAAATTATAAAGTAATCTTTTTTTTTTTTTTACCTTTCGATAGAAAGTTAAAAAAGTCTGTTAGCCAAATTGCATTATAGTTATTTTAATTTCTTCACAAGAATTGCAGGTGATACCTATGGATTGTCTGATACTTGAATAATTCCTTCACATAGCATCTTTTTAATTTTTTCATCAATAAATTCTTGCTCTTCTTTTGTCATTCGATAATAATTTCTTCTAATTAGATTAGCATTTCTTATATCAAATTTATGTTGAGCTATATTATTTCTTCCAATTCTAGTCAGTTGTCCAATCTCAGAAATGTTAGTGATGAATCTATCTTTATTTTCTTTTATCAAAATGTCAATTTCCTTTTATTATTTAGGAGATATGACTTTCTCTTTTACTATTTTCACTTGCATAGTTTTTACAAGACTGTTAGACTAGTTATTCTATATAATTCGATCTAATATTTCATTAATAAATGTCATATGAAATGAGATAGTTTTTTCTTGTTTAGCTATTTCTTCATATTTTAAAAAGCTGAGACGAATTCAAAATTCATTTTTATCTTATTTAGTTTGTTTCAATTTAGTACTTTTAGGAATTATTATAATGTATACATTGCAGTTGAATTCTAGATCATTAAATAAATATTCCAAGTCTTCTTCCTTAACTTTTATTCAAATTTCTTCCTCTATTTTTTGTATTGCTACTTTCATTGAATTTTCATTTCTTTCTACTTTTCATCTAATAGATTATTACATTCCATACATGACTTCTTCTTTTCTTATTTAGAGAAATATATTATCTTAATTATATAAAATTTTAAACACATATTTGAGATTATTAACTTTCTCCTTATATGCTTTTACTTCATCAGTTTAAGATTAAATCAAATCTTTCTTTTAGGCTTAATTTTAAATATCAGTATTATATTCTTCTTCTTATTCTTTGATTTTAATATTATAGTTATTTATCACTTTTTCATCATCAGATCCATATTTATTTTAATCCTTATTCGACCATTTTATTAAATTTATCTTCATAGTTATAGTTTGAATTAGAACTCTGAACAGAACAGGTCAGTTCAGGTCAGGTCAATCAAGTTACCTGAACTGAAAGGACCAGATCAGGTCAAACAAAAATCTGACCTGATTTAAATTTTTATTTGACCTGATCTGACCTGACCCGACCTGACCTAATCTAACCTAATTTGATCAAATTATTTAAATTATTTAATAAACAATATATTATATTTGATTCAATT